AAGGAGGCGGCGCTCGCCCCGCCGGCCGCTGTCCCGACCGGCGGCGGAGAGCTGCCCCGCCCGCCGGCCAACGGCTGTACACCCCACCCGCTGGGAGGTGGGCGGGCGCCCCACCCATCCAGGGCTGGCCGCGAGGCTCACGCTGAGGGATGACTGTACGCCGACCGCCGCAGGAACGCTGTATGCTCCGCCAGCTGCCGGAAGACCGTGGTGCAAGGGTCGTGTGTACGGGCTGGATGAAATTTACTGTATCTGTTGGTACACAGCTGGGATGGTGTCTGCAGAGATAGGTATATGATGGGGGTGGTGTATAGTGGGCGTTCACTGTTAATAACGGGAAATTCGTCACATTTCAGGCCCTGATAGTCGTTGGAGCTTCCGACGCATTCAGCAGCTGAGACTATTTGGCATCGCTTACCTGCCACCCTGGCCTAAAGAGGGAATCTTGGAGAATTTAACGATTTCAGGCTCCACAGGGTTTATGGTAGGGTGTGAAGTGTCGGACCGATAGGAGAACCATGCCTGCAAGCATGGTTATGGTTACGAACGTGGTTAGGATTAGGAAAATTGTCGGAGGAGTCCTCACGGTTTCAGTCCAAGCATGTTTGGCGTTGTGTCTCTAGAGGGTAGATAAACTCTGCCATTTAAAACGACAGTTCTCAATGCCCCCGTGGCTAAATTGCAATGTAGTATCACCGCTAAATTTCCTAACCACAACTGAAGAAGCACGAGGTCCACAAGTTGGTGATTCATCGGCGAGTGCGTGCGTGCGGATCTCAACGGGTCCCCGGCCGCCCCTGGGCTCGGCCGCCTGACAGCCAACCGTCGCCAACCCACCACAGACAGCCCGTCAATCGGCTCCGGCCGTTTGGGGCTAAATTTAAGCGGCGTCGGACCTGTTAGCCTTAGGTCGTCCTCCTGCGCCTGCCAACAATGTGACGGCCGGTGACAGGGGTGTGACGCGCGGGGGGAGGGGCAATGTGTCATGTCACCGGCGGTGGGGGTGGTGACCTTGGCAGGGAGGGCACTAAGCTGTCGCTTCAGGTAGGCGCCGAATGACACGGCTAATCTGGGAGAGACGCGGCGGATGGCGGGGAATGGGCGGGGAGAGGTGGTCGGTAGGCGAGAAAGAACTTGGTGCTCATCAACGACCGACACTGTTAACGCAGAACTCTCCGGGACTGCCGTTAGGACGAGCAATATTGCACTGCGTCGCATAATTGATCATGGCTTCAAGAGCTTTTCGAAATCCTCCCAAAATGTGTGCACCCAAAAGCATCAGTGAGACCCAAATGCATCATCTGCACCCATCACTAAGCATCATCCGCACCCATCACCATGCATCATCCGCACCCATCACCATGCATCATCCGCTCCCATCACCATGCATCATCCGCTCCCATCACCATGCATCATCCGCCCCATCACCATCAGTGGCTTAGACGCATCAGAGGATCCAACGTGATTTTGAAGTTTCCAGATCATCATGGGGCATCAGAAACGATATCGGCATCTTAAGCACCAAGGGGCCCAAGATATATCAGTAAAGTTGCTTTCGATAAAGTTAACAGTACTTTAGAAAGACGGAGTGCATGGTGCAACGACAAAGTACAAGCGCGAAGGCTTTGCTGAATGCTAGCTGGCAGCTGCCTCAAGCTTACATGTTATGCAATTAAGCGACTTGGTTTGTTTCACTTCTCATAAAAACGGTGCAGCAAATGCATGTAAGTGACTTGTTTACCACTTTCTACCCTTGTTAGAAGATAACGAACGACTTTGAGCAGAGTCCCCACTGAGCCTTGCATTTTGTTGGAAATATAAATAAAATCCACACTGGCAAAGCTGACTCAGCCTACGTGGCAGTGTATTTTGTACGAATAAGTGTGTGCAGCACTGCCTAGCTTTACTGGTGCATGTCCGCAAGTCAAGGGCTGGAGATGGTTGTTTTCATTATCGTTGAAACAACTTCCGGTCGATGGTTGGTGCCGACACATTAGGTTTGTCTCCAGATCTGTTAGGTTTTGGCTGATATATCAAATATATTAAGCTGTTGAAAGTTAGGAATGAGAAACCATGATGCCTGCCAAATACATCGAGCTATTGGCGAGGCTCTGTAATCAAGTGTTTTATTACTTACTCCGAGTATAAACATCTCAAAAACTCCCATCAATGATTCCAAAATCAATATTATGATTAGTGCTCGAAAGATATGAGATCCTCGCATCACAAGATACCTCTCTCGGCCGGTGATTTAAGAAAAACTTATTGGATGAACTGATGACGGTACGGCATGGCCATACGGAGATAATTTTTCAAGTTAATTTGTAAGTGAGCCTTTTGGGGCTCCTTAAGGGGGGGCTTCGTCTTGGTAAGCGTTCCGCCATGAAAACAGGCTGAACAGGATGCGCTCTTACTGTTACGCGGCCTGCTATCAAACAGCCGGGAGCTAACAATACTGTTGTCAGGAAAAAACAGATCCCAGCAAATCATACTGTGCATCAGGTCACTCACTGCGTACAACAACGTCAGACTTAGGCTTCGATCGCCAGGCACACAGCCGTGACTCGATTACGGCGTAGCTGCACATACCAAACACAGCGTCTTTGTAAGGATGGCCCATAATTCTTGTCTAATGGATTTATTTTTCCAATCCTCTCCGGGAAACGGGCTTGCGGGATGCAACGTCATCCTTGTGGGACTTCAAAACTGTTTTATATCGGAAGAAATCCAACGCTAAACAAAACAAATTCAACCGACTTGTGACGAAGGATGAGGGTGTTGTAGATCTCACAGTATGGTAGCAAGTTGTCGATTTCATTTTATACCTTGACTACAAGTGAAATCCGTAAGGCTGTCCTGCGTTTGAAATGCGGCCTTACATTGGCACGTTCCCCTCCGTGAATTGTTCTTGACCTTTTCTGTTCGATCATCTTTTGACGTGTCCAGCACATCGCGACAATCATCTTGCTAAAACTTAGTGCATATTGAATGCATTTTGTCCTGCTTGGCCCATCTGTACGTTTCAAGTTCCAGCCTTGTGTAATTCATTTGCCTTGGTCTCGGGACTCCCGAGCGGCTCTCGATCAGCGCATACCTGGCGAAGTCCACGACACGCCACATGACACCCACACACAAACGCACACTGCTCAGTGTCCGAACCGTCGCCGCCGACAATCTCATCCCTTTACGCCGGTGGATCGCGGGCTACTCGCAACCGCTCCTGAAGCCATCCGACCGCGGCCGTGCCGGGATTTAGCGCGGCCGTCGCCGTCTGCGACCGGTCCTGCCGCGCCGCCCGCCTGTCCGGGTCAGTCCCAATTAGCGGCGGGGGCGCGGTCCGCGAGCGGCGCGGATCAACTGCGGTCGCGTCGCTAATTACAGCCGGCGACGCTCCGGTCGACGCGGGTGGGTCGCGTTCGTCCGAGCCGTCCAAACAAGCCGACCGCTCCGCTGGCAAATCACGCCGGATTGCGGTCATCCCGCGTGGGCTAATTCAGGCGGCGCCGCGCCCGCTGGCCGCTGGCGGCGTCAGCGACGGGACAGCGAGGCGGGCGGGTCACGGGAGCGTGGGGTCGATCTGCGGGCAAGACAGGGCACGTGAGCGGGTGGAATGATTGTGCGGACTGTTAAGTCCAATGGCGTGAAATTTGAAATGCAACTTTCAAATAATTTACATGCTTCTCCGAGTGCCAGTTATGGCAGCACGAGGCCTTCGAAAGTTCATGAAGTTATAAATCTAGCTGACGAAAGAATCAGCGTCACCGGAAAGCTTGTCGGAGCTATGGTGCAGTCTTGGAGGCCGAGCACGGCCAGAAGTGCTTGCTGGCATGGCAGTGCAGAAGTGCTGCTTGCTGGCGGGGTTGTGCACTCGGCCATGGGTTTCAATGTGACATCATTCTAGAGCTGCAGTGGCATCGTCATGCATCACTTCAGATCACGTTTCGAATGCCGTTAACTGCCTTCAGATATGCACAGGGTGTCCCTGGAGATGTTTAACAAAGGGTTGGTGGCCCCCTGCGTGGATTAACGGGAGATGTTTAACAAAGGCCTGGTGGCCCCCTGCTTAGGGTAACGGATTACGTTTAACAAAGAGCTGGTGGTCCCCTGCGTGGCGTAACAGGCGATGTTTAACAAAGGCCTGGTGGCCCCCTGCGTGGAGTAACGGAAGATGTTCGACAAAGAGCTGGTGGTCCCCTGCGTGGAGTAACGGGCGATGTTTAACAAAGGCCTGGTGGCCACCTGCGTGGAGTAACGGGCGATGTTTAACAAAGGCCTGGTGGCCCCCTGCGTGGAGTAACGGAAGATGTTCGACAAAGAGCTGGTGGTCCCCTGCGTGGAGTAACGGGCGATGTTTAACAAAGGCCTGGTGGCCCCCTGCGTGGAGTAACGGGAGATGTTCAACAAAGAGCTGGTGGTCCCCTGCGTGGAGTAAAGGGAGATGTTTAACAAAGGCCCGGTCGCCCCCTGAGTGGGGTAACAGGAGATGTTTAACAAAGGCCCGGTCGCCCCCTGAGTGGGGTAACAGGAGATTTTTAACAAAGGCCCGGTCGCCCCCTGAGTGGGGTAACAGGAGATGTTTAACAAAGGCCTGGTGGCCCCCTGCGTGAAGTCACGGGAGATGTTTAACAAAGGTCCGGTCGTCTCCTGCGTGGAATAACGGAAGCTGTTTAACAAAGGCCTGGTGGCCCCCTGCGAAGAGAGACGGAAGAAGTTTAACAAAAGCCTGGTGGCCCCCTGCGTGGGATAATGGAAGCCTTAGGGCATGTCGCATCGCAATTTTCCATCGTGCTTGGTAGGCTTTTCAGTGATTTGTCACATTGATTTTATTCTCGTAAGCGCTGTCTTCTGACGTGGTGCTTCACCGGCGCCATCTTCTCCCGCAGGCCGCAGCTCATGGCGGTGTGAGAAACCTCACCCGAGCACCAATGGCCGTGGCAGGTCCGCTTAACTTAATCACGCAGTTGCCAAATCTTATGACCAAAGCGATGCGTTTGCTGCAGCCCTGACGGTGCGCTTTCTGACGAAACGGTACATCGGCGAGTACGACCACCACGGCGACCAGCCGCCCTACAAGTACGAGCTGATGGTGGACGGCGAGCCGGTGCTCTTCGAGCTGCTCGACACCTGCCCCAAGGTACGGACACGTCGCTGGGCCGTAGACGGCGGCTCTAGGACATCTGTGGCTATGAGCACGATCTGGTGTCGAGGAACCCCGGTTCAAATCCCGAATCTGGAGTAAGTGCTTCATTGGGCGATTATTACAACTGGAGTGAAGAGCCAGGGCACTTTGCCCCGATCATTAGCGTGTTGATAGACTCTGTGTGAAATGTCAGTGACCAGAAACTCCATAGCGCTGTATCTGGTCTTAAACTTAAGCACTTAATGGTTCTTTAAACTACCCTATGACCAGCGGATATTTGATTCAGTCTCGAGCGCTCGTAACCACACACGGATCATAGACCGACCCACCTTTTTCCTGCCACGACCGTCTGTTGTTTCCGTCGTCTGGTGACTCCGATCTGGTGCCGTGGTGCCCTGAGGGTTGCCGATATGTGGACGCGGTTTGAGCGCTGGAATGCTTTGTCGTTTCTAAGTTTCATGTTGTCCGTGTTGATCGAAAGAGGAGAGAGATAACTATACTGGTGCTGGCAGATACCGAAAATCCCGGGTCAATCAGCTCACATTCAAATGCCATAAACAAATTTCAGCAAACTTGTAAATCCCTTGTTGAAGACTGCACGGTGATGAGCTTAGTGAATGCCGAATATAAGGCCGTCGAAAGCGTGACCAGCTTTGGAGAGCCTGGCGCGGAAGCCACGACATTTATAGCTAGTTAAGGTTGACAAAAGCCCGCCCTGGGACGCATTTCTTAACAATGTTATTCTGAGAACAGACATCTTCCAATTACACACGTCTGGGGGCCTTTCATTAGAAAGTGTGTTCTAAGCTAGCTGCAGCAACCCGGCAATAACCGTCATTTCGTCGCGTTTAGCGCATTTGCGTGTAAATGAGGTCTTCTGTCTGCGCTGTGTTCGCGCTCGCCATTGAGTTCAGTCATATCTTAATGGACGTTCATAGTTGCTCTGAAATAAGATAACAAGTGGCATGCGCTTCCCCGCCGGAAGAGGCATTGTCGTTTGTCATTCTTTCCCATCATTTGCCTGTGCATCGCCCTGGACAAATAGTCGGCTATTTCCCGATGGCATTTTTTGTCTTGGCCGTGGACAGAGAGGGATCATTTGTTTCTGTCTGTACCGCTGGGAAAAATGTAGGATGCTCTAGTTCACCCGAACGTTTCACATATCATGGAGTTCTCGTTAAACTTTTTACCCAAAATAAGTCCCAAATCATTTTCTAACCGTGTAATCACTTATAGACAACTATGAGTGAAGAGGCCTTCAGCGCCACGCATTGATATGTGCCTGAGGAAATACAACTTCTGCTCATAACGAACAGAGTCCTGTGTTCATAAAGGGTGAGTAACGGACAGAGCCCTTTGTCCATAAAGGGCGAGTAAGTCTATTTCTTGGCATAGCCAACGGTGCCTTTGTACAGGGCCGTCGTTCATGCGAAGGAAAAAACGGTTTGTATTTTCTAAGCCCAATCAAGCACGCAAAGAGAAATAGCTATCCGGGTCTCCCATTTACTGCCAACCGGGTTACCAAGTTAATCGCCACAAAACACCTCTCCAGCACCAACACCAACAGCCGGCCTGGGAGGGAGTTGTCCTGCTCGGTATTTGTTCCTGATAATTAAAATTGAAACATTAAGGTCTGGCTTTCATTTAGTGCAATATGTTGAAATCTGTGAAAGATTTTAGACAACTTCCAGAGCACTCGGTTAGTTGTCCTCTCAACCCTAAGGGGTTGTAAGAATCACTCGTGGATGATAAAGACATCACCATGTGTACGAATGTTTTCCGATATCATTTTGATATAGGAAATTACCATGGCGGTCGTGCGACCTAAATCCCTCGCGTAACGTTCTTGGCGTACCATGTTTAACGTCCATTGTCTGTCTTTAGTCGGGTTCACGTCTTGGTCTTACACCTCACGATAAACGTTTCGAACAGCTTAATATTTAGCGATGCGTTCTTAGTTTCTCATGAACAAGACACATTCGTCGCGCTCGCGATGCCAGGCGACCGCGTATCCAGGTCTTTGATCTGTCGGTGACCGAACACGTGGCAGCACGCATTACGTAAGCACGTAGACAGACTCAGCGTGAGGAGCTCCTGGCCTCGGAGGCACGGAAAAGGCCGCGCGTCACCGACCGCTCACCATGTGTTACTGTGCGCACACGCACGGTCGGGGGCTGCCAGCTGAGGCGTGATTCGCACGATGAGTGAACAGGGTGGGGTGCACTGTATCATCTCATATCACTGAAGGCTGTCTCCCAGAGGTTTTGTCTCGCATGTGCTTACTTCCTCAAGCTGTAAGTCATTTGACGGCGGGCATGCAGGCATGCTTACCATGATAGCCGTCGCTAAGTGTCAAGCTTTCCGGGTTGTCCGTATGAAAAACAATTCTAAATGGGAAAAATGTGGCATGTTAACAGACAAATAACTTCCGAAAATCCTCCATTACTATTTTTTATCTAAGATTAAAACTCGAACTCAGGCTTTATTTACTTAAGCTTGTTTTTTACCGCACCCAGCCATAACTCTTTATGTTCGAGTGCGCCTCATGCGACGAGTCCAATCATCACCGAAATGCTGCAGCACCACCGCTGCCTTTAAACCCACCATGACGGCCCGTTAGCCATCGTCGCCCTCCCCGCAGACTGCCGGCGAGATGCCGTCGACCAAGACGCTGGACTGGGCGGATGGCTTCCTGCTGGTGTACTCCATTACGGACCGCGATAGCTTCAGCTACATCAAGCGGCTGCGTTCACACATGGCGCAGTGGCGGCGGGAGGGCGGTCCGGCCGCCGCCGCTACCCCCATGGTGCTGGTCGGCAACAAGGGCGACATGATCCACCTGCGGCAGGTCGGCAACGAGGAAGGTGTGTAACATAGCGATGCGCTCAAGCGAGCAGGACGGGGCAGGCGCGCGCTTAAGCGGGCAGCGGGGGAGGGGAGGGGAGGGGGGCGCAGGCGCGCGCCCAGCCAGCAGGATAGGGTTTAGCGATAC